TATATAGAAATTGCCTGCGACTCCGTACGCGCAATCCCGTTTCTCCTATTCCCGTAAGATTTTCAGGACTTTTTACTGTCATAAGAACCTTCTCCTGACGATAACAAACACAACAAAAAAAATCAGCCAAATTAGTCCAGCCGTTCTCAAGTTATGGCGTGACAACGGGAAACGGGTTTCATTTTTATCTACCTCTATTAGATATATAACACATACATACATATATATACATACACACATACATACAATATCATGTACATACATAATGATCCGCTAATCGATCATTAAGATAACAACAATATTATTTCATTCACTGTCTGTGTGAAACCAGTGATAACGTACTGATACTGCACATAATAATATAATACATGACATTTATTTATTTAGTGTTCAATTAAAAAATTGACTCCGTGTCTTTCTTAGGTGTAGAGAATTGGATTTATCTTATAGATAGTTTGACGTCGGGGCGGGTAAAGTTTTAAAAAAAATCTCAGTAGTAGCACGGAGTCTGGAATTGTGCCCGGTATATGGCAATAGGTTCACCCCCTATTACATGGGACTCATAACATTAATAGTGAAAAGTGAGTGTTACATTGTACAGTGGCATTAAGTGCCACCTTCGGGGATAAAATGCGTGATGTTATGTTATGTAGTTTGACGTTCAATGGTGCCATTTTCGTTTATCTTATATACTATTATATACACTATTATATAAACAGGGGAAATTTTTTTTTTGTTTGTTTGATTGAACGCACTAATCTCCGTAACTACAAGTCTGATTTGAATAATTGTTTCTGTGTTGGATAGCGCATTTATCGAGGATGGCTATAGGCTATAAAACATCACGCTACGACCAATAGGAGCTGAACAGAGCGAGTAAAACCGCGCGAAAGTAGCTAATTTGATATAAAACTATTAACGACACTGAAAATCGGATGTGATGGATTACCTACATATACAATATCACATCATTATTTTATTATCAATAGTGAGAATCTCTGATTCACTGATACTGCGCGGGAAGTCAACAGTTGAGTATTAATTCGATTGCTTCCTGTATTGTTGCGATTGTGATTATTTTATTTTATGTGATAAGCCGGTAAACGAGCAGACGGATCACCTGATCCTGATGGTAAGCAATCGGCGTCGCCCATGGACACCTGGAACACCAGAGGCGTTACAAGTGCGTTACCCGTTTTCTGCTCGTTGGTGGTATCACTCCTGTCGAGCCGGCCCAGCAGTGTCGAAGCATGGCGAGCCCAAACTTCTGGGTCTGATGATAAAGAAGTGTAATTGTTAAGGGAACTCCTCAACGGTATACAATAACTACCTTGTGTTTGGGCTTGTGTAATTGATAGCGATTACAACTTTGCACCTATGTGGATTATAGGTGGACGGAATCAAAACGGGTCTATGTAGCTTTACACTAAAATTGATAAAATAATAAAATAAAAACTGCGTTTAAAAAACCGACTTCAAAAACAAAAAAACTAATGACAATGGCAAAAAATAACTGTTATTAGTCATACGTACTTATAGGTTACCCACCACCTACTGATAGGCGAAAAGTCAATGCCATGGGTGCAAAGTTCTTATCATTACAAATTAATCAAGCCCAAACACCAGGTAGCTACCGTTAACCGTTGAGGAGTTCCTTTAGCTATCATATTCCCTCATCATCAGGTCCTTAATGACAATCGCACCCTATTTAGGTGTAAATTTTTCATCAATACAAGTTAATCAAACCCAAACACCAAGTAGCTACATGCAGCCGTTGAGGAGTTCCTTTAGCTGTCATACTCCTTCATCACCCAGACCCCTAATAACAATCACACCTAGGTGTAAAGATCTCCTCAATACAAATAACTTAAGCCCAAACACGGGGTCATTGCTACAAATCCTCGAAGAGTTCCCTCGACTGTCTCTTGACTCCATCATCAGATCAACTTCACACCCTCGTCAAATTGTAGTAGTTTTAAATAGTACATTAAAAATGTAACAGTCGCTCTAGCCGCCCATACAATTTTGAAAAGTTTTTCTCGGTTTCCATTGGATTCCATCATCAGATCTTGACCTGGTAGAAATGGGACCACTCCGAGAATATGTATGTCCTTTCCGATAAAAAAATAATCATCAAAATCCGTCCACGAACGCCGGAGTAATTGCGTAACACGTAACACATACACACACACACACACAAAACACGCAGACGAATTGATAACCTCCTTCTTTTTGGGCAGTCGTTTAAAAAGAGTATACTTACATTATAAATAAATCTCCCGAACGATTTCGATCGTGGTGGCAAGTCTAACTGGATGTTATAGTGCACAAGTGTGTGCGTAAACACAAGTGCACTCTGTTCCCTCACTCTCTTAACTCGATGGGACGGCAGACCGACACGACCGGAGAGAGACAACGGCTTTACGTGCTTACTGAGCCACGAGGGTGAAGCACCGTCGAACTTCCTGACTCCGGGCTAATAATGTTGTTGTCACTTTTAGCGCGATTTGAACCCACGACACGTAGCGCAGCACCCAGTCACCCAGCCCCTGCGCCAACCCTGGTACTTACATTAATGAATTACCTTTAACAGTCGAGTTATTTTAGTTTAGTTTAGTGGCGCTGTGTGTGGAGTGGGTCACCGTTTGTAGGCGGGGTCACATAGGACACACACAATGGATACTAACATAATTAATATGTTAATTCTGTATATTTGGTACGTGTATTGTGTTGCCGGGTAAATTATTGGTTCCGGGACAGGGAGTGTAAATAAAATCGTTGATCAAATGATTGGATAAATTAAAAAAGACTTTTTGTGGCAAACGCAATAGCAGATGGATCACCTGATGGTAAGCAATGGGGGCTATCGTTACTCATAAGTTTTTTTTAAAAAAAAACGTTGCCCCACACTAGGATTATCTCCTGTGTCGTGGGTGCGTTTACAAACATACAAGTTCACATACACATGATACCCAGACCCGAAACAACAATTTGTGGATCACACAAAGTATTGTTCCGTGCTGGAATCGAACCCGCGACACGTTGCACGGCAGCCGGTTGCCCAGCCACCGCACCGTCCGTGCAGTCATGTAATGCAGACATGTCAGATGGCACTAATGTAGCAAGAGATATTTTAGTCCAATCACTGCAGCTGTCAAATATTGAACGTCCAATGGTGGGACACCAGCTAATCCCCTATTGGCCGAAGAACGAGACTGTCACACTAGACTGCTTCATTGGCTGAATAGTCGCAAGTGCGCCTGCCTTGCAAGGGGTCAATTCCCGGGTCGGGTAAAGACTGGATTTGGATTTTATTAAAAGAATCTCAATAGTAGTACGGAGTCTGGAATTATGTCCGGTATATGGCAATAGGCTCACCCCCTATTACATGGGACTCATAACATAAATAGTGAAGAGTGTTACATTGTACAGTGGCATTAAGTGCTGTAATGTGTACCTCCGGCCACTTCGGGGTTAAAAGGCGTGATGTTATATTATGTCACACTAGCGCTATTTATTGAGCAAAAATACAATAGTCCCGATTGGCGCCGCCCATGGATGGACGCCCGCGTTGACAGCATTGTCAGGAGGTCGTTGACTCCAGTGTGTGTGTAGTGAGTGTCCAGTAAGTAGGGTACCAGGCTATCACTCGCTGACCTATTACTGAGCTCTATTCATGTGGCTACTGTGTTAGTCGTGAGGTTAGGAGGCACACTCGGTCTATTGTCGAAGTATAATAATAGAAATAGGTTGCTTTCTACGGCTTTATTCGTTTACAATTTGGAAGGTTTCTCTTGAATATGTTGTAGATTGTCAGGTAGATCCTGTAGTTCACATCACATACACACATCAACAGCCTATAAGTATCCACTGCTGACCAAAGGCTTCGTCTCACACGGAGAGGGTTTGACCATTAATCACCACGCTTGCCCAATGTGGGTTAGTGATTTGAAACTTATAATTAAAAATTATAAGCCCAGGTTTCCTCACGATGTTTTCCTTCACCGTTTGTCAGTGATATCTAAATTATCTTAGAAAGTACATATAACTCGGAAAAGTCACATTGGTCCAGGTTTCGAATCCGCACCCACATGCACGAGAAATGGGCGTTTTAGACGCCCGAGCCACCACGACACAGACAAGATGCGAATGATGAAAGAATTTAAATTGGTCCAGTAGACTTAGTGCCTACCTATTCCGTTAGTATCATAGATAACTCTTTAATAAGGAGGTACAGATAGCATAGAAGTATGATATAACTAGATTAAAATCACCTGGTGACCAGTTCTGATATGAGTACTAAAATACATTGTTATAAAGACCAGGGCCGTCACAGACTACGCTGGGCCCTTGGACACATAATAATTTGGGGCCCTTTTGGAATGTTTTTTTTTATAACGTTGCCCCACGTTATGATTGTCTCCTGTATCGTGGGTGCATTTACAAACGTACAAGTTCACATACACATGACACCCAGACCAGACCCGGAACAACTATTTGTGGAGCACACAAAATTTGCTCCGTGCGGATAACGATATGATATGCGGACGATAACGTGCGGAAACGAACCCGTTACAAGCTGTCAAAATCGACAATTTCTATAATTTGTCGTCGGTCGTGCAGGGCCCCATTAGAATGAGGGCCCTGAACATGGGCCGCGAGTGCCCTTATGGTAAAGACGGTGCGGAGAACCTAACGGGTAACCGGGGCTCCGGCTAGACGTGCAGGAGAAGGAATGGGGTGGTGTTTAGTCAGTAAGAGTCTGACTCTCCCTCCCGCCTCACCCAGGCGGGAGCAGTTATTCGACAATTTTCCGCCCTTAAAAAAAAATGGTAAATACGGCACTGATAAAGACTGCGTATTTGATACTCTTAACTATAGCTAAGTAAGGGGCTACTCCAGGGCTAAGAGGGCGCCACCTAATTCTCCTGTCCAATCTTCTATAGAGCGATGTTTCTTTGCAGGCAGCGTGCTGGCGGTGACAACACGGGCCGGACAAGATGGCCGCGTCTGACGTCATCGCGCAAGATGGCGGCCACGGACACGTCAAACTGCATCCCTACCTCGTCACACTAGTGTGAGTACCTCTACAAGTTTAGGATCCCCCCTCCCCTTTGTAACACAATGTCGCACTACATCGACTGGATGGATGGCCACTAATAATGAATGTAAATTGCAAGACACCAGCAGCGCCACCGCGCCGTTGATGGTTATAAATTGTAACGAAAGAAATGTCCCCAAAAAATGCACCGACACGTGATTATAGATTATATGTCGAGGTATAGCATGTTCTTCTTAACGTTTTCCCACCACGTGCTCTGAGTGTGAGTGGTCGCGGTCGAGGACGTAGGTCGGGCGTTCGACTCCCGACTCATCGCATTCTTGAAAAAGTCAAACACTCGGACGCGTATATTTAGCTGTGACTCTGTGACCGGACGGACGAATTATATTACACCTATATTTTCTTAAACGTAAATTAAACATCATATTTCTATTATACCTAGGTAGTACCTAGACACATTCTAGAGTCATTATTATACTTACCTATGTTAGTCAGATAGGCACCTTCGCACTAAATGCGCTTTTTAAATATATAGAATTATCTAAATGCATGAAGGGAGGTAGTTCTCTGTAGATAGTGTCTACACGGGTTCCTGTTCACCCAATCACACAGACTTACACAATCGTACAATTCCAGTTTGAAAAACTCGTGCAAAAAGGTTGTGTAGTCCAGTTACGTGTAATTAGGGAGCTATTAGGGAGTCCAGTGACAGCAGTGGTAGAATGACCGCGAATCACGTGCACGACACAGATTAAAAATAAAATACTGACACGTTCTACAAAATATACCTAGCATACGCTACGTCAACATAGTTTACTGGTCAATGAAATTGTCATCCCAGTGTGTGTTGCCAAATAATTTCATTATTCATTCAGATGCACTTTCTAATTCTATTTTTATTAATCGTAAATTATATTTGTTTCCTTATAAGGCTAAGCATAAGTTTGTAAAACAATTTGCGTCGTAGAAATCCCGAGACCTTCGCATTGAATATTTAATTATATTGACACTATAATAATATACGTGGTTTTGTATTTAAGTTATTTTTAGAATATTTAAATTCTTCCAAAATTAAATCAGTTAATAAGTTTCTGAATCTATACAACTATGTATTTATTTATAATCACTTTGGCTGTATATTATGTTAAATTATACCTACAGCAATGAATTTTCGTTAGCTAGTCTCACTAAAACTCGAGAACGGTTGAACCAATTTGGTTAATTTCAATCTTGAAATGTTTGTGGAAGTCCAGGGAAGGTTTAAAAGGTGAGAAAAAAATTGAGACGGTACGTAGTTGTCCGGGTCAGCTAGTAACATAGTAAAAATGAATCTCTGAATGTGTTGGTACTTGCTTGGCGCTAATCTCGAAAACGGTTGAGCCGATTTCGCTAATTCTTGTTTTGTTGGGTTTTTTTTAAACGTTGCCCCACACTAGGATTTTCTCCTGTGTCGTGGGTGCGTTTACAAACATACAATATCACGTACACATGACACCCAGACCCGGAACAACAATCAGTCAATTCACACAAAGAGTTGTTCCGTGCGGGAATCGAATCCGCGACACGTTGCGCGGCAGCCAGTTGCTCAGCCACCACGCCAACCGTGCAGTCAAGCTTTGTTTTTGTTATGAGAAGGTTCTTGGGTTCTTACGTAAAATAAAATGAGCAGAATTTTCCAAAACGGAACAAGTTCGCGGGGTCCGTTAGTAAACAATAATATTTTTCATGCGTCAAATAAACCAGTTAATCCAGTACCTTAATATAGAAACAACTTATCAAGTATTGTGCGTCTTAACAGGCCCTTCCATAACTAGTTACGTAATGACATACTAACCTTACGCTTCACAAGTACACGAGCCGGTAACCGAACCTGCGACCTTCAGCTCGGAGGCCGGTATCTAGTGAACCACGCAGTTATTATGTAAGGTACCACGTAACTATAGTTAAGCTGCTTTATTAGCTTAACTTAAATGAGCCAATACAGATTAGGACAATCTTTTGTTTAGTTTGGTTACGTATACGCGTCTATTTTCTGTCAGTACTTACATATATCCGTTTTCGCAACCCTAAAACTATTTCTTAACTAAGAGTTACTTGAAGTAAGGGAGCACCTAAACTAACCCTTTACCTTTACCGTTAGGAGGTACTTAAAGGTTCTTAGGAGTAAAAAACTCAGCTTTATAAATAAAGCTATGGAGTTTTTGTTAGAGGTTCCTTAAAAAAGAGAGTTTGGTGAAGACTGCAATTTGGTATTCCCAAGGTTCTGAGTACACAAAGTAACCTGCCTATTTTTTTATTTTTAAGGGTGGAAATCATCGAATGGCTTCTCCCTCCTGGGTGAGGCGGGAGGGAGGGAGTGTCAGACTCTTACTGAATAATAAAAACCACCCCGTTCCTACTCATGCTACTTTGTACACATACTATTTTCATGGGGGCAAATGACTTATCAGCGTCACCCATGAACATTTGCAATGTAAGATGCGTTTGACTGCCTGCATTTAATATCTTGCAATTCTTTAGTTTTGTAATCTCGAGCAGTGGTAGTGGACTAATTAGTAGTTAGTTCATTTTAATCGTTAGTTTAGCCTCGTTACGGACCATGATAAATATTTGTTTATTATGTAATAGTGCCACATTCTCGGATACAATGAGTGAGCGTTGTGCATATTACTTAAATTTATTTTATTTCTTGCAACCAGGGCCGAGGGCTCGTTGCCCTCGTGATTTTGGCCTTTCGTCATCAACAGTCTACAAGTTTCTACTGCTGACCAAAGGCCTGTTCTCATACTGAGAACTATAATTAGAAATTGTAAGCCCAGGTTTCAGGAAAAAGTCACATTGGTACTTGCCGTTGGTAGGTTTTGAACCCACACCCTCATTTCCTTTTGGTAATTTGGCTTTTACCTTCTATCTAAAACTAATTATTATCTATTTTGTACCTTTAACCTTCTTACAGTCGAAACGAACAACTAATCTCATACAAAATCTGTAGAATCATCGTTTTCTTCTGATATTAGTTGTGTGTGAATCGAGTTTCTGTCAATAACATGGGTCTGTACAGACGGCCATTGGTACTTTAACTAACGTATCCGATGTACCTATCTACCCACCTCCCATCACGTGTGATGTTTAGTCAGTAAGAGTCTGACACTCCCTCCCGCTTCACCCGGGCGGGAGAAGTCATGCGATGATCCCCTTAACAAAAAACCCATCCATTAACATCTTATTTATTTCGTTGCGGGAACCATAACAGTTATTCATGTCCCTGGGACGTTGGACTTCAGTTTTCCGGTGTTTGCATGGTTGTATCTACTGTAGATCCTGGTGCACAGGAGTTGCAGCGGTTTTGGGTGGTTGTGGCGGGATGTCCCATTAAAAAAAGCCATTAGGTACATAAGTAATGTAATCAATGTAACTTAGGTTGTCTATTTTAACATAGGTTGTATGTGTAAACAAATTACTACAATTTGTGAATGTCAGTATCGTGGAATTAGTAAAGTGTTGTGTTGTTGTGTCGGGTCCACGTTGGGTCATTGTGCTCACAACAGAGGTTGGTTCATCTGTCCCACATGATATTACTGGAATGCGCAATGTTGGGGCAGGTCACACTATATTATCTGTAGGAAAATTATGAAGTATATATACTTAATCTCACGACATGAAATGACCAATTTTGGTGTTTGAGGAAAATCTTTGAATATATTATTAGAAATGTGACCGTTTGTGTTCATCTAATTATGTATATCGTAATACTTACTAGTGAAGGTATCAAGTATAAAACAAGCCGATGTCCGCTATCTGCCCCATGTTGCTTAGATCTTTAAAATTGCGCAACGGATTTTGATGCAGTTTTTTTTATAGATAGAATGATTCAAAAAGAAAGTACATGCGTATTACACATGTATAATATGGTATATAAACAAGCTGAAGGTGGGTCGCTAGTATGCAATATTTAAAAACAACATGTATGTAGGTACTAGGAAGTCTAGTCTATTGAGCTATACTTAACCTATATTAATATTTAATTTATAACAAACGTAATGTAAACTTGAATAAGAATGTGACCTTGCATTCTTTATAGGTAACAATTACCTAATAATGATTTTATAAATATGAGTCAACGGAGATAAGCCCCACACTGCGCAAGCGCGCGGTATGCTCACGGACGAACATCGCCCTCTGCTTATCACAGTTTAAAGGACAACCTAGTTGCTACCTCATTCACTACCGACAGTGACTAGTTGAGAGAAATTTACTCTTTTAACCACGTTATTATTAAGTATGGTGAAGAAAAACATCGTGAAGAATTCCAACTTATAATTAGAAATTATAAGTACAGTCGCCAACCCGCATTGAGCAAGCGTGGTGGTTAATGCTCAAACCTTCTCCGTGTGAGAAGAGGCTTTGCTCAGCAGTGGACATTTATAGGTTGTTGATGATGATGAGTATCTTATAGAATAGATAAAGATTTACCTTTGCCGAGGTTGCAGACTTGCAGGGCTTTGTATAAGTGAACATCCTGAGACTCTTTCGCAATAATGATGACTTGTTAGGTTGTTTTTCAAACAAACAATGTTGTGTTTGTTTTTATTTATTTTTTAATTTATTTATTTAGAAAACCAACAGCGTTACATATGGTTTACAATAGTTTGCGTGAAATACAGAGATTAAGGTTTGTTATTACATTATGTACATACGTTACATAAGACTATGAAAGAAACCCCTCAAGTCTGATAATGAATTTAATTAATAATGACGCACGTAATACTATAAGTTAAGACTTAGCCATTTATGTAAATCTATCTACCAACTGAGAGTGAAATTGATAAACCGTTCGAATACCAACATGTTTGAATTATGATGTCGAATTTATACATATGTATGTATACAGGGTTCTACCTCATAGTCATTGGCCGAGTGGTCGCAAGTGCGATTGGCCGGACAAGAGGTTTTTGGGTCCATTCCCGGGTCGGGCAAAGTATTCCCGGGTTTTAAAAAAAAACCCAGTAGTAGCA